TACAGCGTCCATCAGCCGTGACAATATCGGAAACGGTGCACACTTGAAGGAACATACGACACCAATTGAGCCATTTCAGGTCGTCTTGGTCCACCTCCAAATCCATAAACACTTCCACCAGCAGAGCATCACCAACGCATCGTAGTGGTAAGGCCGGAGAATCAAAGGCCACATAGATGTCCATGTTCTCCAGTTCTTTCCAGACTCGCTTTATCCATGTATCGGAAGCCAAGACGGCCGTGTTGCCATAATCCTGCTGAAAGACCCCGAACGAAGTGCCCGTTTTGAGCTGGTGTTCTTGCAAAGCGGCTTCCAGGTAAGCTCCGGTTTTTGTCTTGTTGTTCGAATGACGGAGGAGAGTCTCGATATGCTTGGAAACCTGTGAGCCGAACGGATGTGGGATACCCAGGCCTTGGAACTTCAATGGAGAGAACCTCAACCAGGATGTGTTCTAGACTCTCTGGACAATCACCAGGAGGACGGTGGCGGGTTGTTGATGGTTGCGTGGGTGAATTAGATCCCAAACCTAAGGACGCATGAGACGATCGAGAGGATACAGATCCTCCTCTTGACAAGGTTGGACGCTGCTCGCGAGTTTGTTCACGAGGTTGGGCTCGTAGTTCACGTTGGGTGCTCATTGTAGGACGATAAAGAGCAGTAGTAGAGCTTGACTTCACAATAATCTAAAACTGTATTAAGTCAGAGGCGACCGTTGCTATAGATCGATTAACCCCCTATCCTGTGAGAAGCTGAGCACAGGAACAATCCTTGGTCACTGGCCAAGCTGATAGGTAGGAAGGGACACAGCACGGAGGACCGGCGACTTGACTTGCCCGGAGTAGCGAGTTAGAACCCCTGGTGAATGCAAGCAAACAAGTCTACTACAGGTAGGATGACCCTGCGAACTCTAATTTGTGTACGCCCTGAGTCTGAGGACGGTCCTAACGTTGGACTGGAACCGATGCAATCCCAAAGTAGAAAAAAGGAAAAGCAGACGCGCCTGAATCAATTGCTTGCACAACAAAAGTTCGTTCCTGGGGCGTCTGGTGTAGGTCCGGCGTTTTACTTCGCGAGGGAAGGTGAACTTTTCAAGCGGGACTTCCACCACAGTAGCTATTCAACCAGTTGAAAGATTCGGATCCCTTGGTTCCGAAGAAAACTCCTTGACGACAAAAGGAGGTGAACCGGCGACACTCAACGCTGTATTGATAGCGATCGATGAAATAAATAAAACTCCAATACCTTACGACTATAGCGATAGGGCCGCTACTAGCCGAGCACTCCAAATTTTGTCGTTCCGAACCTTGAAAAATAACTCGGGCGCCTGTAGAAACCGAGTTCTTCCTTCAAATTAAATCGTATGAGTACTGTGCCTCAGAAATTAATTCAAATCGAACGGTGGGATGGGCTTGATGGGAGCCCAAAAAAGAACTTGCGAAACGCTGAAAGTCGATCCGCGAGTTGTTGTGTTGTTCGTCTTTGATGGGAAGACAAATTCCAAAATGTTGATTGTCCTCGTCTTTGATGGAAGACGAGACAGGTAAAATTTCTGAAGGACAATCGCTGCAGTCGGATGTGTGCACGACTGCGAGAATGTGAGCTTGATGGGAGCTCAGTAGCTTGCAAAAGCGCTGTGAATCCGATCCGCAAGTTTGTTGTGTTTTCGTCTTCTGATGGGAGACAAATTCAGCAATCGCTGATGGGGAGATCGATGCAGTTAGCTGTAGGCGTAACTGCGACTGTTAATCTGACAGAAATAAATGAAGATAGATAGATAGACTTAAAGCCTATAGTGCGACTGCTATTCTACGAGATGATAGAGATCAATTCAGGTAAAACAACGTGCAGTGAGAAAAGCGATTGTTCATCACTTTTCCACGCAAATCTCTAGAATTATCGCAGAACGCTGATGACTCAGCATTCTCTACGTTGAATCAATAGCGTGTAGCGGTTCACGCGTGCGACGCGTGCTAGGCACAGGCTACACTTCAACCTGGTAATCCTATAGGTCGAGTCACGAGTCCCGTTCCTATTAGAATTCTGTCATCAGTAACTCATAGAGTGTCTAGATGAATGTGATGAATGATGTGATGTATGAGGACATACGGACAGACGATCTAGTAAGTCGTAAGACGACTAACTCGATCCTGACAGGTTACATTTGGGGAAGACTTGGGGGTAGATGTTTGCTGGTTTCTGAATGGTTCAGAAATGGAAATTCTATTTCTGAACCGTTCAGAAACAGGATCTCTATTTCTGATTCGGAAGCTAGTGTGGCAACAAAGGCTACATTTGTGGACTCGACTGACAATCATTTCTCTGTTGGCCAGCGCCGGATAAACTGGCGAGAGTTTGCTTGCAAGATCTTGTGGCAAATATCAACGCTAGAATTTAACGGGTGGACAAGCAGTTCAAGCGGGAATCGACAGAAGATCCTGCCAAAATCTGTGACACCGCCTGTCCGCATGTCACCCCTTCTTGCTGTGACTCTTCTGTGAAGATTGGGTTAAACCAGCTCTCCTTGGGGGAGGGGAAATCGGTATACTCCGTCTTCAATGCAAAATATCATACCTGGTACAGTACAGCTCTGATCAATTTTAGACTGCATCCCGTATAAAATGCGTAGACCTGGTACAAAAAGTGACGATCGATCGAGTCGGATAGGATTTTGACTAAAACGACTACACCTCCGACCGAAATTCTGGAACAAGATGCAAGAGCCCCATCTTGTACGATATGACCTTCTTTGTTTACAAATCTTAAAATTTGAATATGCACTATTTGCCTACAGTGTATAGACTAGAGGCCTATCCATTTTAAATTCCAAATTTCGGTCTAGAATGCATGGAATTTTGAAACATTCAATTAAGTCACCTGAAATATTCAGAAGGGTTCATCTGGAAACCAGAGCCGGGAATCTCATTTCTGCCGCAGCATTGCAAATATCACCCAAAGTCAATATAGATAGGCATATTGATAACTTTTGTTTGGGTCTTACCGTGTCTGGATACCAACACGGTGACTGGGATGGATTCTTGGCCACTCCTGGATTGCATGCCAAATTGACCACAAAGGTCAATTAGGTGCAATTCAATCACTTCTACCTTAAAATCTCCCATTCCAAGCCGCCAAACCTTGTTGGATATACCCATGGACGATGAATAAGTGTTAGACTAAGGAAGTTTGAGGAAATTAGGCCAAGAATTCGACAATTCCAGAATTTTACAACAAACTTACCTCTCTTCTGCCCCCATTTTGGCCTCATGATACTTGATGTAGGCCGAATCATTGCCTCGGTCCCAAAAAGTCCAAACCTTAGGTATCCAAGGGAGACTTTGGTGTATTGTTGAATTGATAGCTGTCTCAATGGCGGCCACAGGGACATTCAGAGCGGCTGAGAAACCAAGACAACACCCAAGAAGGAAATCTCAAAAATCTTCGCAAATCAAACAAATAAAGTAAATAAATAATGCTCCGCCGTTGTAATAGATATCAATAAAGCAAACTGTATATTGGAGCTCGGCGCTCTCAGCATGTGGGGGCCTCTGTGGATCCCAAAGGGCAACCTGACAGACATAGTTCGAACAACAACACTTGTTGATTGTGGCATGACTGAGGTCGAACAAAAATTGAATCACGGCTCATGGCATAGCCTATATGTCCATGAAGCTTTCCACTACATCTGAAGTTACGCTTGATCACTTTCACCCAGTTTGGTGTCGTCATCCATCTGTCTTCGTAAATGGGATGGAGTCTGCGGATGGAATCCAACGCATCAATAACCAGCTGGAAATTCGACCTTGCCATCCTTTTCTTGGTTCACTTTTTTTTGATATTATGCTAACCGAATGGGTAGGGAAGGATTTTATGAAATAAAAGTGAACCAAGAGAGGTGTTGTGGATGCTAACGAGCCTTCCAAAGGTTGACAACGAAAATGGAAAGTTTTGTTGTGATGCGGATGTGGTACAATTTCCACGAATGTTTACGGAGGTGAGCACAAATCTGAAAGGTACTTGCTTAGATTTGAGTTATGACGTGGACTACCAGAAACGTGGAATTCTACGGCATGTTTCGAAATTGTGATGGGAGCTGTAGGGAGCATGGCGGGCAGTACATAGGTGTCGGGTGCTGCCCGATATATGTATTATCTGAATAAAGGATAAAAAACTACCAGCGCATGCGCCAGGATCGACATTTGACATGCATTGAAAAAATTGCACACTGCAAAAAAGCAATTAACGCAGAACCATCAAGGGCGATGTGATTATATACCGTTGGTTAGGTCAGTCCACTAGGATCAAAAAATGACACTTATTTCTTGCTTGCTTCAAACTCTTTGCGTGCTTGCACTAGCCGATCAACCATTCCAAAGTAGTCAAACTTCAGACTCCCCTTGCCTCGATTTTCGGCAGAGGACTCTTCGGGATAAAAGTTATCATGCTGGCAAGACCCGCCAAAAAACGTAGGAATGTCTTCTTCCCCATTCATCAAGATGTCCTTGAGTTTGTCACGGACGCCATCAAGATCGAGCAGGACAACCTTGGAAGCTAGTCGTCCAGGCATCAGGGGGAGAAGAAGATTCATGACAAACTGAATCACTGACGACACAGGTGCCGACCAGAGCGCGCTTAAGCGATCAGGATACCCCTTGACCAATGCCTTCAGCAACTTGATAAGAAAGGTTGGATTCGGCGGGGGAGGGTAAGAGGAATCCGAAATGCATATGAAGTCGGTAACACCTTCTGGCATGGCTCTGATGCCAGCATCGGCTAGTGTAATGAGGGCATTGCATTGCGCATCAACATCAGGATACCAAGGCATGCGATTGGTTCGGACCCACAAGATTGGGCGTCCATCTTTAGTCAATCCATGGAAATATAGTCCGGAATAGTTAAGTGCAGTTGCCAATGCTTTAGCTTTAGCAAGCTTTTGAGGATATTCTACCGCCTCCGGCCAATCTTCTGGTCCGTTTGCAAGTTTCACCATGGCATCCATTTGAGGAGCTCCTTCTTGTGCTCTCCATTCCATGACGTTTGTTAGTTTCTCCATCGAATACTATCATAATTACGAATGGTACAGTGCGTATTGAAATAGTAGCGAAGCCAAAATAGAATTAGAAACACCAATGAGCCCATAAGACAACTAAAAAAGGGAGAGAGCACCGTTCTTACCTCCAATGGACGACGCTTTGTTGGGTCTTTCGAATAGGGCTTTGAAGCAACTGATAGTATATATGCGTCGCTGAGATAAGTACAGTCGTCAGGAAACTGCGTCTCTAATTCTTTCCGGATAATTGTAAGTTCTTCTGTAGAGACCTCGAATGTCTTGCCAGTATCAACATCATCTTCTTCCAGAGCATCTTTGAACTCGTCACCGTTTTCGGCCCCAAGCATGTCTTTGGCCTTCTTAGCATCCTCGGATGACAGATCTGGAGTGGCCTCCTCAGAGCCGTAACCCAACCAATTCATCATGTTTTCTTTCTTCCCACTTTGGTTACAGTACAGTACGTAGCGCCCTTCTTGTTTGACGACGATTCACAACTGGAATTTTGGCGTATTCTTAACCAGAATGCGCTGCGACGTGAAAGAAAGAGTGAATGAATGAATGATGAATCGTGCAGTGGAAGTTACAGTAATCCTGGTACCTGGTACCAGGCATGGTAATACCGGTACCAGGTACCTACCGTACATGTACTGCACGGGGATGATTGTCGAACGGTCACACAACGCAAGCCACACTTCGTGACATGGACAAGCGTTAAGGGGATGGCTCAAAGTACTTACTAAGTCTACAACGCGACAATTCGGAACTTCAGGGACATCGGGGACTCTCCCCCAAATAGTTTTTGATGAACAACTTTCCTGGTACTTTTTCTCTATATCGTTCAATGCGCGTAGACTCCTTGTTTGATCACGTTGAAAACCAGCCGAATAGGGATGCAAAACGCCCGCAGACCTAGCGCCAGCCTCGATATTTCCTCACCCTCATCTGCCGCTGTTTGTTGACTGGCAGGCTCCCAATGATTTACCAAAAAGACACCGGCATGGTTGTTAGGTCTGACCTCCACCGCACATTTTGTGGACCAAATTGGAGTGGAAGGACAGACACACACGAATTTTCACAAGTGCAAATACTGCCGTGTAGAGGTATTAGACTGCATTACATAGAGTCACTATTTGTAGTCAGAAGTTGGCAGCTGAAGCCAAAACGCTTGAAGTCAAACTAAAAGAACCGTCGGCTCTAACTTATATGATATGACTGTGCATGTACTAGATCTTACGGGACAAGGCCAATATGTCCTCCCGCCCTGCCTAGTAGTACTACTACTAGTATTCGAAACGGAGCAGCACTGGTTCTGAGGCGATTGATTTTGAGACATCAGTATGTCCAAACGAAGCATTATCCAGCGGACATCAAGTGTGGGGAACATGAATATCAAACTAAGCAAGAAAATGTTGACTATAGTAGGTACTAGTTATAGGTACTAGTTAGTGCACAAATGAAAAAGACTTGACAAACACAACTTGAAAAGCAACAAAGCAGTTGCCGCATTGTATGAGAAATGCTGTTGCAAATTGAAAAACAACTTTTTCTCTAAATGCAACAAAGTTAATTTCCAGTCGCCAGCCCTTTGTTTGTCATGAAATGTGGCAAGAATTGCACCATTTATTCCGCCTGTTTCGCAAAATGTATGGCGACAAGCTTCTGGTCAATCAACGTCCCGTGCCCCACCTGTTCTCGAACCATCAAGTCCTAGAAATGCACCTAAGAAGGGATGCTAGTGGCTGGCTGCTGAAGGAAGCCAACCAACCAATCCAAAGAGACTATTGTATTCATCTCTGTGGTGCTGGTGATGGTAGTGGAGAGCTGTAGAGGCCCATGACAAGCACCACCTTGGCCAACAGCACCACTTCAGACTTGGTCTAGCCAACAAGATGGGAAAAGGACCTGACAATGTTGAGGATCATTTGAAAAATGCTGAAGACAATCAGCCAAAGAAATAGAAGACAAAACAATCAGAAACAATCTAGCCTACACCTCAGAAACAATCTAGCCTACACCTCTGGAGCTGTACCATCTAGACGGATAAATCGCACAAGGGATCTACAGTACCAGTGAGGATGACGGTATCTACTAGATGAACGAATTGGACGAGGGATCTACCAGTGAGGATGACTGTACCGGCATGATGATTGGGTGATGATTGGGAAAAAAGAGCAGCGATGTGGCAGGTGAATTGGACAAGGCGGGCATGAGGGGAATCCAAGGAAGATGCCAACAGAAACCTCTACTCTTCAGCATCAGAGACAGGGCGTAACAAAGCTTCTTCTTTGTCTGGCTCAGGCGAGTCCAAGCTGTCAGCTTCTTGTTGTGGTGGAGGTTGATTGGCTCCTTAAGCAATGGTTCTCAAACCTTTTGACTTGCCCCAAGGTGCGGATCGCTTGCAATGGTAGTGCGCCATCCTCGGCGATTTTGGAAGGAGGGGGTTGCTTGTGTCCGCTCTTGGGAGGTATCAAAGCATGCCAAACGGTTTGAAACAGTTCCATGGGGTCATCCCTTGGATCATCCTTTACCAAGTCAACCGTCAGTTGGGTGGTTGAATTTGAACGGGTTTTTTCCTCCAGGCCTCCCTGACCTTGATCAGTTGCAGCCTTTGTCAAGTTCAGAGCCATCTCATCTGATTGATCATCATCAGAGCCCATGGTTGAAGTCCTCAATCAAGCAC